TTTTAGTTGAGTATTCATGACAAATGCCATCACAAAGTGGCTAATTTTCTTGAATTATCAAAGATAGTGGTTGACTAACTGTTTTAAAACTTGTTTTTCCGGGGCCTGGAGAGATGGCTCCGAGGTTTAGAGCATTGACTGTATTTCCAAAGATCCCGAGTTTAATTCCCAGCAACTGCATTGTGGCTTACAACCATCTATAATGAGATCTGCTGTCCTCTTCTGGCATGCAGGCACAATGCAGGCAGAATACTGTATACATAAAATATTTTTTTTAAAAAAACTTGTTTTTCCAAGGGAGGAAGCTGAGTTTTTGAGATGGGTATATTAAACTCTTTTTCTTTTTTTAAAAGCTTCAAGTCCCCACTAACATCCTTGTATGTAGGATCTTTCCCACATAGGGGCTGGTTCCTTTGTTGAGGAAAGCATCTTTGCTTTGGATATTAGGTGTTATTCCAGGCATATGACCTTTTTTTGTTTGTTTGTTTGTTTGTTTGTTTGTTTTGAGACACCCTGGCTGTCCTGGAATTCACTTTGTAAACTCTGTTTCCCTGCCTTTGCTGGGATTAAAGGTGATGCCAGCTGGCAACATGGCTCTTTTGTTTGTTTGTTTGTTTGTTTGTTTTTCAAGACAGTTTCTCTGTGTAGCCTTGGCTATCCTGGACTAGCTTTGTAGACCAGGCTGAGATGCGCCTGTCTCTGCCTCCCAGAATGCTGGGATTGCAGGCGTATGCCACTGTGTGTGCCCAGCGCAATATGGCTCTTAAAGGAGACATTCTGTTTATTTTTCTTTCTGGCTGCATTGATCCCCTCCCCATTCTGATTGGAAGTACCACAAGCAAAGCATAATTATTTGGAGGATGGGTTGGTGGCTATGGGACTCTTCTGGAGGTGGGTGTGAGTGTGGGCAGAACAGGGGACAGAATTGGTACTAGCAGAGCTAGAGGAACTACAGACAGGGCTGTGGGGTCCCCCTGTGGCCTCCAGCTGCAGCTTGAGTTGGAACACTTGAGGAATAGAGGCTCATGGGAAGGTCTTCCAATTGCTTTATTTTGAGAGCCTTTTCCTCTGCATATTGGCAGCTGTTTGGAGGAGGGGACATTAATTGCTGACAGTCAGAATGTTTTCCAAAGCAGGCTATATGGATCTTATTTAGGGATTAGTTTCTGGAGATGAGCAGAGACAAGAGGTCTTTGGTTCCATTTCCCAGGAAGTTGGTGGGTTTTGTGATGAGCCTCCTTCATTTGCGTTGGATGCTGAGGCCAGTAGAAAAGCAGCTGCCTTGAAGCATGGAACTAATTGTATAGATCACCTCCTGGGACTTTTACACTCATCTTTCAGCCTTCAGTTTGTTCTCTCTCTCTCTCTCTCTCTCTCTCTCTGTCCTGTAGTTCAGCATGCTCCACAGAAATTCTTGAGAGGTTTGGACATGATCTTGGTGGAAACCAGGGATTGTAGGTCTTTGCTTAGCTTCTTTTTCTCCCTCAACTTTCCACCCCTGTACAAAAGCATCTGCAAATAAGACCCCTTATCCTTAGTCAGGCTGGATACGTAGCGTTGACAGCCGTTACCCGATGCAGTGGATTCTATGGGTTGGAATGGTAGACTGTGTGACTTGAAAGCAGTCTGACAAAATCAGAAACTCTATGTGATTCTCAGCAGCACATTACACAACTCATTGCCTCACACCGTGGAAACTGACAGGAACACTGTCACTGTCAGTGCTGGGTAGAGTGGGCTTGACCAGGCTTTGTTGAAACTTCAGAAGATCTCCACAATGGCTGCCTCACACACTGGGAGCTTTGGCAGAGCTTGTTGGGAGTTAGTTATGCTTCTCTTGAAAGCACCAGATTTTGTACTGTACATCTTCTCCAGGAGAGAGGCAGAGAAGCAGCCAGAGTGGAGTGCTAGGCAGGTTTCATATACTTGTGTTTGCTGTACTTCAGGCTTTATTGCATGTTTTATATGGTGTGTTGGCTGATTGGTGTCTCCCAATTTAATATCAGTGAAGACTGAGGTAGGTATTGCTGGTCATGTTTGGGTTTTCATCTGGCTTTAGACAATCCTTTTTGGGATTGGGATTGGGATGGTGGGCAAAATCTCTTGTGTTCTAGGCTGGCCCTGTACCAGGTGTGTAGCTAAGAGTGAGCTTGAACTTTGGATCTCGCTGCTTCCACCTTCTTTGCCGTGGGATTATAAATACCCATCACCTTGTTCCACTTAGGCAGTGCTGGGTATTGAACCCAAGGTTCTGTGCTTGCTAGGCAAGCAGTCTTCCAACGGAGCTGCATGCTGTGCCCCAGATATGAACATTCTGTTCACCCCGGCCCCATGTTACTCACTGCTCACTGTAAACATCTCCTGGCTCTCTGCTTGTGCATAGGTCTGCAGCTGCTTCCTGTGGTACTAGGTGCGTCTTTTTGCTGTAGCACTTTGGCCTTGTGCTGGCTTGGTACAGTGTTAGGGACCAGTTGGTTTTCTTGGCACAACCTGCCTTCAGGCTTTAAGTTTTAAGATGTTATTGTGTGTAGCAGTGCTTATTTAGAAAGATACTTATCAGGGACCCTTACTGATTTTTGTCAACTGGCTAAAAATGATGTGATGATTGATGACCCTGTATCTGTTTGTGTGTTTGTGTCTCCTGTTTACTTTATGTCACTCTAGGTTTTGTTTTAAAAGCCTATTAAGGAAAAATTATAATAAAATACGCATAACATTAAAAAAAAGCCTATTAAGGATTACTTTGATACTCTCGGGTTTAGTGGTGGGCTCATTTACTTCTTTTAGATTTTAGCTTCAGTGTTAGTTTTAGATGGTTAATAAAAACTTAACTTGATTTAACAGTATTTTCCAGAGCTTGAATCAACCTAAACAACTCATCTGGTCTAACATTGTTTTAAGCACAACAGATGTTGGGACTGTGAAGTCTTTCTTTTTTGGTTTTTCTGTGTACTATTGGCTGTCCTGAAACTCGCTCTGTAAAGCAGACTGGCCTCAATCCGGAGGTCTGCCTGCCTCTGCCTCCCTGAGTACTGGGATTATAGGCATGCACTACCGCCTGGCTGTGACGTAACTGAATCCGGATTTGTGCCCAGGTTTTCTACTTCTAAGTTAATTCCTCACTCTGATGTTATAAACGTAATGTTTAATGAGATGCTTCCCTCTCATGGTGTGTCCCGTCTGCCCAGATGCCAGTGCACTGCAGTTACCACTGTTCTTGGAATCCTGTGTTTTTCTTTTACTCTACTGGAGTGTAAGCGCTTTTAAAAGGACAGTGAAAGTGTTCATTAATGGTTTGAGGCGTGTGATGCTTACGGATGCTTTTCTCAGTCCTTGGTTACAAAAACTAGAATGGACCTCACACAGTCCTTAGCTGGTGCTGCCTTGTGCTTGCAGTTCCCAATGCCAGGGAATAGTCACAACTCAGTAAATGCTTACTGGAAACAGATAAAACTCTGTGTGTTTCTAAACATCCCTCAATAATCACATGCTGCCTAACGTTGCATGTTGTGGTCATGAAGCTCATGGTGTGTTTGTAAAACGCTTCCCCATAGGCTGCTCATACAGTCCCTCAGCCAGTCCTCAGAGGTGGGACTAGGGAGAGACAAGATGAGACTCCTCCCCCAATCTAGAGGCTTTTATTAAGGCCTTTTAAGTTTGTTCTTCCATAGGAATTACTGGTATGACAGATGAAAAATGGAGCACATAGGTACTTCATTGTCCTTGAATGCCACATACTTAATATTGAAAGTATTTCTCCCTCTTGTTTCAGGTTCTCAAGTGCTGGGACTAAGGGTGTGTCCACCACGCCTGGCTTAAAACGATCCCCAGTAGAACTTGAAGGCAGCACTGAACCCCAGTGTCTTTCTTAAGTTATTTGGATATAGCCAGTGTGTTTCCAAGTGCCAAACATATTAGGGCTTTGTGTGTGTGTTTGTCTTGTTTTCCTGTGGGCTAGATTATGGGAAACTGTGTGAGATCATTGGTTGTGGTGTGTATGATGGGCTGTTTTTTTTTTTTTTAATGTTTATTTATTTATTTTATATATGAGTGCTCCATCTTTACACATACCCCAGGAGGGCATCAGATCTCATTACAGGTGGTTGTGAGCCACCATGTAGTTGCTGGGAATTGAACTCAGGACCTCTGGAAGAGCAGACAGTGCTCTTAACCACTAGCCATCTCTCCAGCCCCAATGGGCTGGATTTTGTTGTTTTATCTCAGAAGTATGTCTAATTTCATTGTTGATTGAAAGATGAACACATATCAATCAGTAGATTGATCATGGAAGGCAAAAGAAAACCATCAAAGCTAAAGGCATCTTCTCGGATTTAGTTAGGGGGAATAGTTGATATGCTTAATAACATATTTTGGGACAAAGTTTCATTGTGTAGTCCTGGCTGGCTTGGAACTCAGAAATCTGCCTTCCTCTGCCTACTGGCTGGTGAGACTAAAGTTGTATGCCGCCACGCCTGGCTTAAGTTGATTTAAAAACCTGCAGTATATTCACATGGTTAATACACACGAAGACCCACCTAGTACCACAGGAAGCAGCTGCAGATCTATGCACAAGCAGAGAGCCAGAAGATGTTTACAGTGAGCAGTGAGTAACATGGGGCGCGGGTGGTCACGAGACACAGATTGAGGAGTGGAAACTGTCTTCCTCCAGCTTTCCGTTCTCTCCCGGGGTAACTGGTGTGATGGTTGTGAGTGCTCCACACTCGAGACAGTTCCTGTACATTTTCCCACCTCTTTAACAGCTCACCATACTCACACAGCTTTGCTCTATCTGGGCATCCTCTCCTGTCAATGTGATCCCCCATTTCTATTTGTTAGCTTTTTTGAATTAAGATGATTTTGTTTTGGTCTTCTGAGATAACAGTATCTGTGTGTCCAGAGGGGATGAATGGTTAGTCTTGGGCCTTATATGGTGTGCTGTCTTGTTTCTCATAGAACCAGAAACACCTACACTGCATCCTTATTCTTTTTGTTTGTTTGTTTAAAATATGGAGCACCTCACAAATTTGCGTGTCTCCTTGCGCAGGGACCATACTTATCATCTCTGTGTCATTCCGATTTTAGTATTTGTGCTGCCGAAGCCACCCCACATCTTTATTCTCTGACATGACTATGCTACAGTTCCTTGACTGGTGATACCACAGAGTTGTCGGAGTAAAAGACAAGTACCATCAGCTTTCTCCCTTCCCAGACAGCTGCTTTGGGTTGTCTGTCTGTCTGTCTGTGCTAGTGGGGCAAGCTGCAGGTCAGAGATAGCCCCCTTGTCATTGAGCTAGTTACTCCTGGTCCTCAGGATCTGCCCTGCGTCACTGCACACGCTATCTGACTGCAGTGATTTTTTATTTCATGACATCGCATATAGATCAGACATCTCCCATGTGCCCAGGATTGTTTTGATTAAATGTCATTGCCTTGCAGTGAACCAGTTGTGAGAAAGTTAGGTTTAATTGCCATTAGCCACATGTAACCCCTGTGTTTGTGGAAAGTCCCAGGTTGATGTTCTTTTCTAGAGCATGGGCTCCCTGTAACTGAGGCCTGATGGGAAACAAGATATGGTTCAACACACAGGAAATATTCTTATTTCCTGGGTGGTGGAGGATTAGATTTCAAATGTAGGCTTGATTCTAGCTCGGTTACCTTTGCAGACTAATGCACTTAAAGATGGGAAAAAACTGTTTGGATACTTTGTTTCAAGAAGGGTTTCTCTGTGTGGTCCTGAAGTTCACTGGGTACACTAGGCTGGCCTTAACGCAAAGAGATTCATTGGCTGCCTCTTGAATGCTGGGATTAAAGGCACACACCACTGCATCCGTTGCGACTTGCGCTGTCTTTAGAGTTGACTTCGGCTGTAGACTTTGTTGCCATGAGGAAGAATGCATAGAGGGCCGGCATCACAGTAGCCTGGAAATGAGAATGAGGCCCATGAAGGTGTACCTTCCTGTCTAGATGGATGTCAAGCTTTCCTCAGTGCAGCTCATCCCACAGTCATTTTAACCCCCAAGGCTCAGTGGGTGAATCAGGGTTCCTCTGTCGTAGTGGCCTGAGTCTTTTTCCTGAACAGTGAATGGACACAGACAGGGTACCAGATGCTCTGTTGTTTCGCCTCTTGCTCTTTCCTTCACACCCAGTGTAAGGTTTCCAGGCATTTGTGCAAGCTGATAGCGGAAAGCGCCTGCTGTAGCAGTCTAGAGATGGCTTAGCCAGGGGCTTAGGTTACTCTGTGATCTTGATAAGAGCCATCGATCTAGGTTGGTGGCTGCTGGGGGTGGGGCTAGGCTGCCAGTGCTGTCTCTACTGGGAAAGGTGATGTGGGCCTATGCGGGACCTGTAGAATGGCCTCCAGTTAGCCTGAGAGGTCTGGCCAGTATCTCTAGGGGAACAGCATACGTTGATAGGTCTATCTTACTTTCCAGAGAATGTGGCTCAGGAAACAATGGCAAACAGGAGTGACTACAAGTAGGAACCATGAGGTGCAGACCTATAGGATAGGGTTATTATTTTAAAATTTTTTTATGTCTTAACTAAACCCAGTGGAAGAATTTATTTGAATCATGAAGTGCTGGCCACAGTAGCTTGAATTTTCAGTGTGGCAGGGGATGTGTGCACAGACTCCTGACAGATGGTGACACTTTGTATTTCCACACCAAACAATTATTACATTGTATTAAAATCCTGAGTCTGGAGGAGTCCTGCTGGTATGAGATTGCCTAGGTTCAAATGCCATCTCCAGTTATTTACCTGAGTGTCTTATGGGCAAGTTATTTCTGGTTTTACTTTTTCATTTGTAAACTAAAGATGGTATTTCCTTGGGTGAAATGAGTTAATAGGTGATTGTAGTACTACAGCAAAGGCTATGTTTGTTGCTGGGGGCTGTGACACATAAAGAAAGCATTCAGGAGACCCATGGCAAGCATGGCTGACAGGTGTGCAGGGCTGAGTTTCTGTGTTTACTGACAGACTATCCAGAAGCAGGAGAGTAAAGTGTTAAAGTGACCGGGTACGTGAGGAGAGTCAGCCCTTTCAAGGCTGTATAAACTGTTGATGGGTGTGCTTTGGGTCCTGTGAGTCTTTCAGAGCATAAACCGTAAACCTGGAGTTGCATGAAGACCTTTCAGCCTTCTTGGCATTTGAATGACAGACTTCAATTTTTCTATATATAACCTCTTGTGCTCTAGAATTTTCAAATGAAAAAAAATTTTTAAACAGTATTTAGGTTGTAGAGATGGGCCAGCAGTTAAGAATAGTAGCTATTCTTCTAGAGGACTAGGGTTCAGTCCCTAGCACCTACACGATGGCTCCCAGCCATCTGTGACTTCAGACCTAGAGGATCTGACGCCCTCTTCTGACCTCTGCAGGCAATGCATACATCTAGTCCCCGGACAGACAAGCAGGTGAAATACCCATACACAAGAAATAAAAGGTAAAAAGGAGCCGTGCGGTGGTGGCACACACCTTTAATCCTAGGGAGGCAGAGGCAGGTGGATCACTTGAGTTTGAGGCCAGCCTGGTGTACAGAGTGAATTCCAGGACAGCCAGGGCTACACAGAGAAACCCTGACTTGAACCTTCCCCCCCCCCCCCCCCGAAAAAAATTAAAAAGGAATAAAACCTATAAGCATATACGATGCACATGTGGAGGTCGGAGAATTTACAAAGTTGCTTCTCTTTCCATCCGTGGGTCCCAGGGTCTGAACTCAGTTTGTCATGCTTGGTAGCAAGTACCTTTACCCATTGGCGCTAAATCTGTTTTTAGAAAATTTTCATTTTTCATTTCACTGGCGCTAAATTTGTTTTTAGAAAATTTCATATATTATGTTGTGCACACTGATCGCTCTTTTTCCTCACCTCCTTCCCACAAATTTCTCTCACATTCATGTCTGTTTGTGTGACTGGGTGTGGAGCTACCCATTGGGTCTGGTGGACTCTGCAGAGGATATACAGCTGAAGACAGTGATTCGCCCTCTCCCAAAATTTGTCGGTGGCTAGTAGTTCAGAGGTACAGGGTAGGGCTAGTGAGCACCTTCCCTTTCCTTGACCAATTGTTGATGGGCCTGACTGTAGTAACTACATCTGTTGTGAGTGAATGATTGCAGTGGTCGCATCATGTAGACAGTGGCATTCTGCAGCCCTTCACCTGCCTTCTGGCTCTTCCATACTTCCCACCCCCTCTTCCACAGTGCTCTCTGAGCCTTAGAGGGGGTGGTAGCAATGTCTGGTTAGTGTTCATGTGCATCTTGAACAGCCATGAGTCTCTGCATTCACCACCAGTAGTTGTAACGAGGGGATTCTCTGATGAAGACTAGGATTAGCCTTTGTGGGTATAACAACAAATGTTTAGAAAGCAGTCAGTCATGTCAGTCAGACATTTACAGTAAGTTCCTCACCTGGGCCGACAACCTTCCCAGATACAGGTTGTCAGCTAGGCTTCCTTTCCTTCCTCCCTGTGGAGTGGACCTCAAGGCTAGTCAGGGCACATACAGGCAGTTGGGGTGTCCCGACTGTAGTCAATCTGCTATTGCAAGAAGAGGGTGGGGCACATAGCTTGCCTGGTGGGCTTGCCTTCTGGTTCATATAATGATGCTCTTTCTCCTTTAGTGGCTGCATCCCCTTTAGCACTTTCCGGTGGTCTGAGTGCTAGGGAGGAAGTCCTGGTTCTCTTCAGCGGGCTTCCTCTGATTCTTACAACTGAGGTGTGGCATGTGGTGTCTTTGTAAGAACATCTTATCTTTCAGTTCTGGTTGCTCCAGAATTTTTCATACGACTCTGGGTTTTATGTACATAAAATATATACACAATGAAAACATTAACTAGTAATAAATCTTAAAGAGGGTTGTTGTAAAAAAAAAAAAAAAAAGAAAGGTGTTTGGCTATATTATATTCCTTATTAGCCCTAAGATAATTGTGACAATATTATCTAACCCAGTTTCATAAATAATAAAACTCAGGTACCTGTTAGGCTTTATAATTGCCATATTTACCTTGGGCCAGGCATCTGTACCTACCTACACTGTCGGAATCACTTCACCATCCGTCTTCCAGCCCCCATCCAATGCCATCCTCCTTAACCATCCTATCTTCCATCCATAATCTTATAAATACTTGCTTTCATTCTTCATCTGGGCCTTTTCATGCCATTATTGGAGTCCTTTCTCCTTGCCCATGTGGGTTTTTTTTCTCCACACTAACATATCATGGTGTCCTCCTCCCTCCTCTCTTTCTGTTCATCTGTCCCATCTTCTTGTGATTCTCTCATCCTCAGAAGCCTGGGAACCTTAGCCACACCTACTCCATTCTGCCCTGCCCAGTTACAGGCCATTTAATGAACCAATCAGGTATAATGTTTTAGGCGGGCTTAAACAAACAAGGATGGGTGTATCCAGTGGGCAGCAACCAGATCTTGAGGGCCAGTAGTTAGCATTAGATCAGCCTCCAAAAGAGGTTTATTTTAGGAGAGACATTTCAGTGGTTAAGAGCTCTAGTTGTTCTTGCAGAGGACCCAGGTTCTATTCCCAGTACCCTCAGGTGGTCACAACCATCTCTGACGCCAGTTTCAGGGGCTGCAGACAGCAGGCGTGCACATGGTGCACAGACTACAAGTAGGCAAAATGCTTTTTTTGCATATAAAATGAAACAAATAATCTAAAAATGTTCCTTTTAAAAGGTTTTTAAATATATATTTTACAGCCTGTTAAAGATGAAAATATCTGCATGAGATAGATGTACTTAATTTTATATAAAATCAAATACTGGCTGACTCTTGATACTGCAGGTGTAGGTCATTACTATTGTTTTCCTGAGATCATAGCTATTTTGAGTTTGTAATTGTCAGTGCTGAGGACACTGCTTCACATTAACCTATAGTGCAAAGTAGTCGAAGGATGTTTAGGGTCATTTCAGAAATCGTTGAAAATTTAGCTTAATCCTAAACCAGAATTTATAGAATGTGGGCTTCTTCTGGGGGAGGTTGGTCTTGTCTTTTTCCAGACAGGGTCTCACTATGTAGCCCTGGCTGTTCTGGAACTCACCGCGTAGACCAGGCTGGCCTTGAACTCACAGGGTTCCTCCTGCCTCTATCTCGAATGTGCT